ACTCCCGTGGCTTTATTTGCAGCTTTGGCACATTGTAATGAGGGCTTCAGATAACTCTGTATCCTAGTTTCGTGATCTTTGCCTTGTTTAACTTTACCATTTGCCAAAGTATAGCATCATTAACGTAACGCAGTTGAAGTTTAACTGCAGTATATTACCGATAAAGAGAGGGAGACTACAATGGCGATTTTTGGCTTACTGGTCTTTATCAGCCAGCCACACCCAGTCCCACCTTGCGAAACCATTAAGGCTTGAAGCTAAACGTGTTATTTGGAAATCCGGCGTCCTAAGCTTTAACAGTCTTCCGGCTTAATTCAATAACTTTCAGACATGACCTGAACACGCATTTACCAAACCTCGTTTCGCTAAATTGCAGACTAAGCTTCAAAGTACAGAGGTTGAAATTTACTTGTCGGCCAAATATTTCTAGACCGTTGATTTTTTCTCGTCATTGTGCCACCTTAATCCGAAGTTCGGCAGTTCTACCGTCTATTCTGGCTTGAGGAGCATTTACCGCATTCTCTTCAACTCCCCCCATCTGGAACCGGTGTTATGACCAAACCAAGATGAACGAAGGCAAGGGCGGGTTCAGGTAGCTGACGCAGCCATAGCCGCCCCCAGGCGTGCCGTCAAACTTGGCTGAGTGGGAGTACCATAAAAGCCACATTAAGATGCCACAATTGTGCTCTGACTCTCAGTCCCACAATCAATTTCTCCTCCCCAAGACACATTGAACTGTTCAAGTTACCTCGTCCGTTTTGCCACCTGTCAAGCCCAGGTTTTTGTCACATCCTGCTGGCTTTAAGAGCGTCATATTATTTATTGTGAGGAAAGTGCCTTGAGCTGTCAATCATACTCTCTCCTACATATCAGCTTAAGGCCACCGTTCCAGCTGGTCAGCTGTCTAATGTGGCCAAAGCGAAATCTAAATTCCAGCGGACATAGCACTAGTCTATTGTACAGTAGTCGCTAAAGACCACGCAACTGCCAAAACTTTGTAACAGTTTGATCATTACTTCAATACCAGTGTAAATGCATTTAGGAAAACCAAGAAATAATAGTGAACAGCATTACGCATGTTAAGTACTTAAAAGAACTATAAGAAGTATAAAGTGTTTGTAAAGAAAAATAAATGTTTCTCGATAATCCCGAGGTTCTGGAGACGTAAAAAAGAGCTATAAATTCGAACAATAAATTAAGATATTTTGTTAAGTTGAAAACTTGAAGCAACCACTTTCTTTATATAGAAAGAGCTTTTCTAAGTCAAAATATTCTGTACATTTTACCGTTAGTGGATAAGTATTTCAGAAGATAAATTGGCGAACATACGTTTGTTTTCGATAAATTCTCG